CACTGGTTGCTCCTCTGCCCAGTAATTCCCTTCACAGTGAGGTCTTCCCTAGCCATCCCACCTACCAGCTCACACCACCAATTCTGTCCATCATCTAATGCTAATTTATTTTCTTCCTTGATACTTTTCACTTTCCTCCTCACATTTTTGGTCCATAAAATGCAAGTTCTATTTATAAATACCCATTCACTCATGTTCATTGAGCATCTAACATGCCTGAGACCATTCTAGGTACTTGTGTTTTGGCAGTGAACACAAAAATGTTCCCTGTCTTCGCGGAGTTTACATTCTAGTTATGGAATAGAGGATTTTTTCTACAAGAAATCTACAAAAGAAGAAGTACATGTAAAAATGGAGAAATGATTTAGAGGAAAAAAATTACGGTAGATTAACGAGGATTAGGAGTGTCAGGTTGTAGGGGTAAGAGTAGATTGCAACATTAAATAGAATCAGGGTAAACCACAGAGAGAAGGTGAAGTTTCAGCAAAGAAGTGAAGAGGGTAAGGGTAATAGACATGCAGGTATCTGATGGAAGAACACTCCAGGCAAGGGGAATCGCTAACAAAGACCGAAAGTGGAAGCAGGTGTGGCATATTCCAAAAACTCAAGAAGGCCATTGTAGTTGAATAAGTGAGGAGGAGAGTAGAGCAGAGAAAGCCCTGGAGTCCGTGAGGGCCAAGTTGACACAGCAGCTGGGAGCCACTGAAAGAGCAGAAGCATGAGACAATTTGACTGATACTTTAAGGCAGTAGTCCCCAACTATTTTGGCATCTGGAACCAGTTTCATAGAAGAACATTTTTCTGTGTTGGAGAAATGGTTCGGGATGATTCGGGCAAGTCACATTTATTGTGCAGTTTATTTCTATTATTATTATATTGTAATATATAATCAAGTAATTATATGCTGTAATATAGAATTAATGGGAGCCTTGAGATTGTTTTCCTGCAACTAGATGGTCCCATATCGGGGTGAGGGGAGACAGTGATAGATCAGGCATTCAATTCTCATAAGAAGCATGCAACCTAGAGCACTTGCAGGTATAGTTCACAATAGGGTTTGCCCCCTACAAGAATCAAATGCCACCACTGATCTGATAGGGAGCAGAGCTCAGGCAGTTATGCAAACAATGCTGAGTGGCTGTAAATACAGATGAAGCATTGCTCACTTGCCCACCATTCACTTCCTGCTGTGCAGCTTGGTTCCTGACAGGCCACGAAGTGCTACCATTTCATGGCCAAGCGACTGGGGACTCCTGCTTTAAGGGATAACTCTGCCTCTGGGTTGAAAACATGCTATAAAAAAGAAAGGGAATAATAAGACCCTACCTACCAGAATACCACTATATACTGAGCCTTTGGGATACACTGTTGAATTAATTAATATATGAATGAATGAACTACAGACTCTGAAGAATAAGAGAAGAGAGATACTCCCAAGTATGAACTAAAAAGTAATATGTCTTCTCATCTTTATGAATCAGACACGGTATATTAACATGACACTTTTTAATTATGTGTGTGGTTCTATGCCTACACGCACTTATGTAAATATTTGCTGCTTGTTCTCTGTGTGTAAAGCACTTTTATTTTCACAAATACCTTCACCTATTTTATGCTATTTGTGTAAATATCCATATAGTGTAATGTTCATTAATGCCAAGCTACTGCTGTATTGGGGTACTTCCGTTTCTGAAAAATAGCACATTCTAATACTGCTTAGTTGAGGTGAATTTTTTAAATTCTGAATGTTATGAAATAAGTCTCATCTCTCAAAATAAAGGTCATGGTTTCAATTCCCATTTTGTTATATTAGTTTGAAAAGCAAAAAGTTCCCACAGCCACAGATTCTGTTTCAACCTGACAAACTTATTTCTGAAGACTTTGGGTACAAGAAAGGGCTCAGAGAGTGAATCTGGAAAGCCCTGTACAAACCCATCTGGGATAAGAGGAAAGCACAGATGGCATATTGGCAGTAGACTCGTCTATGAAAGGCAGCAGACATTTAAATGTACTATTTTAAAATATGCCAATATCGTTTCAGGATTATCGCTTTCAAGGTTGAGTAAGTGTAAGGTGTGCAGAAATTATCTTGTCCATCTCATTATTCACAACTATTTATCAAGCATGTACTATCTGTCTGCCGTGGCCATGCAGAGCTGAGCAAGACAGTGTCTGTGCCTGTGCAGTTCATTGCCTGCATTCTCAGTTTTGATAATGTCACCCCAGGGAGAGAAAATTCGTCCTTGGGTGAGACACAAAAAGACTTACTCTTTTAGATGTATAACACACAGATAAGTATATAGTACATAAACAGACACACAGTGTATCTGTGGTAATAAAATTTCACAGGGAGGGGTGATTAGAAAAAATATTTTAAAAAATAGACTTCCCAAAAAGCCATTACAGCAACAAGGGAAGGAAATAAACAAGTGATTGTCATGAAATATGGTAACTACAGTGAAAAGGAAATACAAAGTTCTTTAACTGCATATAGCAGGAACACTTAACCCAGTACAAAGGAGGAGTGAGCGAAGGCTTCCTTGGAGAGCTTGCACTTAAGCACCGATGTGAAAGAGGTTCAGGAAGACTCGCTCAGGCTGGTAGGTAGGGAGTGGTGTGCCAGAATCAAAGCAGAGAAGAAACTGACGCAAACATACTGGACAATTGTAAACACAGGCTTTTACTGAGGAAAATCTATGGAAACCCCTAAATTATCTATCTTAGCTAATTGGCTAATTTGGCTTGACTAATTTGGCTAATTTTATAAAGTCAGGCCAACAGAGAAAACACTAATAAATGAAAGCTGAATTCCTATCACAGATTTGGACTTCATGTCTTACATAAGGATCTTTCTTTCCGTGGTCTGCCATCATCCCAGTAAGGCCCTTACTATCTCTTGCCAGAGAATTCCACCGTCCCTAACTTGTCTCCCTTTCAGCCTCTCATAGCAGCAGAGCAACATGGGGCTTTCTGGAAGTAACGTGCCAACTGACCTTCCTGGAGAGCGGCCCGTACACCTCTCCACTCCATCCACATCGATGCCTTAGCCTGCCAGTTAAGAGTTTGTAGGATCAGGCTCTAAACTATAACGCAGAGAGAATTTGAGTATTCCTTCAAGTCAATAGTTCTTAAACTTTTAAAGAAAGCTATAGACCTCGCTTATTCACCGAGTCTCAGATAATGAAGGTGCCTTCTATGTGCCAGGCACTATTCTATCACAGAAGAAGGAACCTGGACAGAATAGACAGAATCCTTCATTCATGGAGTTTGCTTTTTAAAGAAGCAAAGGAAAATAGAAAATACATGAACAAATAAATGTATCTAAACATATCAGTGATGGGTGTTAGGAAGTACATAGAAAAAGGGTAACAAGTTAAAAAGTGACTTCAGATTAGGAGATAAGGGAATAAGTATAACAAATGACATCTGAGCTGAGGCTTGAATGAGGAATCAGCAGCTATGAGACTGTCTCAGGGAAAAGTGCCCCATGCATAAGTAACAGCCGTATGGTGCAGAGTCTTATGGTGGAAATGAAAATGCCCAGAAGCAAAACTGATAATGGATGTACACCAGTCTGGCTATACTGTCATCAGTTATTTTTAGTATCAGTGGCTTAATAAATTCCTCTACTTAGGCATGCCACCCAGGGACCCTGGGATCTCCCCAAAAACCAGAAGTTAGTGTCATCAAGAACCTGATCCTCTCCACTGTGTGCTGCTTTCAATTTGACTGGTTGGTATCAGGTCATATCACTTGTTAAATATTTCTAATATTATCTTTATAGAAAAGCATAGTATAGATGTCACACACCGTCAAAAGTGAACCTAGATGCCCTAAAATCCACCTTATATCTTTGACTAACAATCCTAGCATTATGTGCTAACAAAGTGACAGCATAATAGCTGTTCAACACGTAGGAAGCAGGTTTCCTGTGTCTGAACTTTAGCTCTGCCATTTACTTAGCTATGAGAACCTGGGCAAGTTGCCTAAAATTTCTGTGCCTCAGTTCCCATAAAAATAAGAACAATTATGTATCATAGGATTTTTTGAGGATTTAATGATACAATGCATGTAAAGTATTTGAAAGTCCTTTGGCACATTAGTCATTATTACAATGGTTATTACACAAACTGTGAATTCCTGCTAAGCTATGCCTACCACCCCAGTCAAATGCATTCTATTTTCTCCCTCTAACTTGCCTTTTTTCTACTTTTCCATTGACTGAATTTCCAGCAACTTAAAAAGCTCAGATAAAATGCCGCAAACATTTTGTAGAAAAGCCATTTCCCTTCTCTGAACAACTATTAGTACCATCTAGTACCAACTATTGGTACAACTGTTCATATAATCTAAATGTTACACCAATCAGTTACTATCTTGCAGCGTAATTTTGTGTATATGTTTTGTGTACTTGGATTATAAATTCATTTAGAGAAGCAATATCTATGTCATCATAGATATTGTAATATACAGCAATAAAATGTATTTATTTGTGTTTGACATGTTCAAAGAAATAACACTACTTTCTGACATGAGTAAGAATTTCAGGCATGCATAACTCATGAGACAAACATGCAAAATCTCGTAAGTTTCAATGTAAATATTTTGAGGTCATTTTTTTCCTCACCATGACTTTGCCTTAAAACGATGTGCTCTGAAATGTATTCTTTTCATAAATAATTTCCCAGTGACTCAGATGCTGTTACAGAAAATGAATGACATGATTTTCATAGTTAGCAACAACATGCTGTGAGGACCAGACCAATCTGAAGTATTCTTGTTAGCCTGGCTGATATGAGAAAAGAAGAAATCCTAACATGTATTCTAATACTCTAAAATTGGACCTAAAAATCTAAAATCAGACCTTCCTACTCCTTCTTTATTAACCCTATTCTTTCCTTTTCTTTCAACTGTATGTTTCTCTATGCCTGCAAAACTGATTGTTACAGAATTATAAATAATTAACAAAATATAGTAATTAGAAAAGTAAAATAACTCACCTTTGGCAATCTCAATGGTAATTTGCAAATTGGCAACTGAGAATGGTTTTCATTAATTACGAGAGATTGATTCAAGTTGGGGACTATCTTTCCTTTAGGTACTTTATACACGACAATGGTGCCTTTATAATGAGGGCAGCTGTAGTTTCCAAATTCATCCACTTCTTTGATTTGCAGTTCCAGCCTAGGTTTTCTTTGCAAGTGAAAAATAAGTGTGTAGTCTTTTCCATAATCCTTCCCATTGCCTAGATAGGAGTAAAATGCATTTGTTATCATTAAGATGGATCAATTTGTCTTACTTAATTTTTAAAAATCAAAATAATTATTTTATTTTAAAAATACGATTAAAGCTTTTTTGTATCATTATCTTTTGTCATAATATAACCTGACAAAGGAGCAATAGGCAGAGACCATGTAGATTACGCAAAAGATTTCTCAACGGTTCTTGGGCCAGGTGCTCTCTGGCTGCTTCTAAATCAAATAATCTTTAGCTTTTCTTTCTCTATTCCATTTTTTGTAAAACCAGAAACTACTAGAAATATTCAGCTTTTGCAACATTTTACCCTTTGAAAATTATCTTTCTCCTTTCCCCTAACTATTCATATTGTGACCTCACAATAGACATTCTAGAGTTGCACTCTCCCATAACATGTGGCTACTTAAGTTTAAATGAAAAATAATAAACAGTAAATAAAATTAAATTTAACTCCTCAGTCAGTCTAAACACATTTAAAAGTCTCAATGACTGAGTAAGTATAATAAGTACCATAATGAACAACACAGATATAAAACAATTCCACAATTGTGGAAATGGACAGTGTTGTTCTAGAACTTTCAGGTGTAATAGTTACTAATTTTATTCATGAATAGTTATTGAATTGTTATTAAAATTTCTATGAAAACCTGACAGGTTCTCCTAAAATGATAATATATAAAAGTTTTATCAACTACTTACTAAAAATTCTAGAGCTTTTGTGAATATAACCTTTCACTCATTGGTGTTTTACCATGACAATCAGGATATTTTACCTTGTTATTTCAACAGTAGAATAAACACTACCATGTTTCCTAAGGAAATAAATGTCTGCATAACCATTTGTAAAATTTGTAGAAACCCATCATGTAGCACTTAATATGTCTTGGAGGTATAGATGTAGGTTCAAGTCCAATCTCTGTTATTTGTGTAGTCTGTAATATTTGTCCATATTTTCATATCTCTGACTTCTTAGAGCCTTAGCTTCTTTATCCTTAAAGAAGCAGAAATAAAACTTACCTCCTAGGATTGTTTTGGAAATGAAATGGGAAAATATGGATAAAATGGTTGTCATAGGACCTGGCACACAGTAAGTGCTCAATAAATGACAGCAATGATAGCAATGATAAGAAGAAGGATTCTTCTACTGTTTTGAATTTGCATGCCAAAAAAAAAAAAAAAGAAAAGAAAAGAAACCTCAGGCTGTTTAAAGAAATGTCAAGATAAACTTTTTTATATTTTGGGATTTTTTTTTTTGAGAGTGAGTCTCACTCTGTCACCCGGGCTGGAGTGAGTGCAAGTGGCATGAACTCAAGTCACTAAAATCTCCACCTCCCAAGCTCAAGCCATCCTCCCACCTCAGCCTTCCAAGGAGCTGGGACTGCACATGTGTGCCACCATGTCTAGCTAATTTTGTTTTGTTGTTGTTTTTAATAGAGATGGAGTTTCACCATGTTGCCCAGGCTGGTCTCAAACTCCAGAGGACAAGCAATCCACTCTCCTTGGCCTCCTAAAGTGCTGGCATTACAGTCATGAGCCAATGCACTTGGCCAAGATGAAGCTTTTATGTTGACATGGAACAGCATACAGTTGACTGCCCAGAGTTCTCCCTCATAGAAAAGTTTTCATTTTGCCTAGTGACCAAAGGCTTCATTGAGAGATATAGATGACACCACCACCCTTCTGCCTGTCTTGACTGCTTGAGGTAACTTTGGTGATTTTTCTAAAGCTCAGCTAAATCTAGAAATAGAATAGCTCCAGATTACAGAAGGTGTGGGAGTAAATCCCTTTGCAAAAGTTTTTATTTGAGAGGCAACCTGACTACTTGAAAAATGATAACAACAATAAAAAGAACAGATCCCTAAGAGAGGCATTAGCCAGAGTTTCCCTTAAGAGAATCTCACTTTGGTTAAAAAAAAGTAGATTATTTGGGGTCATTTAAATGTTCTCTAAATAGTAAATTAGGTAGGAGTTTCCAGCTCACTGGAGTAACACCTAGCTAACTTCTGTTTGCATACTACTAGAGAGCTATCAAGAAAAATTTTACTACTTTGGTTCCTGTGGAATACCAATTAGTAAATTTCTCATTCTGTCCCTTGAAGGATCTTATACTTCCTGCAAAGTGCACAATTATTCATAAAAAATGATTTATACACAGGATATAAGGATTGAGGGTGACATATGGCCACATTGGTTCAATTCAGACCTAAAACATATAGCAATTTTTAAAAATAAAGATCTCTAGGGCAACTCTCCAAAGATCACATGTGAAGTAGAGATGAAATTATTGACAATTTACTAGTAATAAGTAGCATAATCTTCCTGTTATAAACAAAAAACATTATGCAATTTTTTAAAGTTGGGAGTTTCATTGTTGTTAAGGCATAATAATATATTTTAAAGACTTCTGGTCCCTGAACAAAAAATAAATCCAAAAAAAAAGAAGTAGCCTGAAGAAATTGCACTCCTCTATTTTTTTTTTCTCCCTCACTGGCATATTTAAAGGAGAAATAAAAGCAAAGCTCATTCATTCCATACCCAAAGTATAAAATCAACCATTAGTTTATTTTTTTAAAACATATTACATATATAGAACCCCAGAATTGTCTTGAGATAGTAGCTATCTAGTAAATACTTGTCATACAAAAATTTCAGAATTTACTTATATTATATGGATTACAAGATGTCTCTTATAGCAATATATTTCTTCTTAATAATGGGCATTTAATATTTTACATTGATTACATAGAAAATAAAAATGTAAGAATGAATATTTTTGCATAGAAAAATCAGATAGACCAGGCGTAGTGGCTCACGCCTGTAATCCCAGCACTTCGGGAGGCCAAGGCAGGTGGATCACTTGAGGTCAGTAGTTCAAGTCCAGCTGGCCAACATGGTGAAACACCACCTCTACTAAAAAGAAATACAAAAATTAGCCAGGCATAGTGGTGGGCACCTGTGATCTCAGCTACTCAGGAACTTGAGGTAGGAGAATCACTTGAACCTGGAAGGTGGAGGTTGCAGTAGGCCAAGATTGTGCCACTGCACTCCAGCCTGGATGACAGAGTGAGACTCTGTTAAAAAAAAAAAAAAAAAAAAAAAAGAAAAGAAAAAATAAAGAAAAGAAAAGTCAGATAAAAAAATTGAAAGAGCTAGCAGTCCAGGAAACCAGAAAAACCCTATGAGAACTACTGGCTCAGTGTATATGCTAACCCTCTCCCCACGAGCTCTACCTCTAAGCTATGCCATCTTTTGCCTGCTTTACTGCAATTAAACAATAACGTCTCCCTGCTTCTCCTCTTGCTCTAAAGTCTATTCTCAACACAGTTATAATCTAACTCAGTTCACTTCTTTGTTGAGAACCCTTCATGTTTCCCCAAGTCACTCAGCATAAAAGGCAGTCTTTCCTATGCCTGCAAGGCATGACCAGTTCTCACCTCCTCTCCCACAACCTTTCCTCTCCCTCTGATCCAGCCATCTCAGGCTCCCACTGTTCCTCACACACACAAGATAAGATTTCACGTGAGTTCATTGGCACTGGCAATCCCTCTGCCTGGGACAAACTCCCCTGAGATAGGATTATGGCTTGCTTCCTCACCCGCTTAGAGACTTCTTTTTAAGTGTCAGCTTTCCAGAAAGATCTTCCCTGAAATAAAACCACACACCTGCTACACCCCTAAGATCCCCCTATCTTTTCCCTGCTTTATTTTTCTATAATTCACTTTTCAGCCCAAGTCAAGCTATGCATTTTATTTACTTATTTGCTTATTCTCTGTCTTTCTTCATTAGACTTTAATATACATAAGGTCAACAAATCTTTGTTGAGTGAATGAAAGAATGGTTAGTACATAGGTGTAGAGATAAGTGTAGGGATACGTCCTATAGAATATCTAGAAAAATCACTTCCCTAGGCCAAAGGGTATTCAGGGCAACTTTAAAAGACAGATCTCACAGGCATTACTAGGTGTTATGGATGGTGCTAAGATGTCATTATATAAAATCATATTAAAACACTTTCTGGAAGTTGTGTGAAGTGGGGGCTTGGATAACATGCAAAAATCTAGGTGCTAAACTGACAACAAAACTCTGACCTAGAAAATGAAAGCTTGCTGTAGCTTGTTTCCGGAAGATTGCCAAAACCATTATAAAAACCAAAGGATACACCTATCCATCTTTCTTCCTACTAGAAATAGAAATACAGGTCCATGTCCCGTGATGTTCACTGAAAAGGTGAACATATAGTTTTATAATATATATATATATATATATATATATATATATATATATATATACACACATTCTATGTAAGTGAATAGAGAGATTTTGGCATTTTTCAAAGGGCTGAGTTTCTTTTAACTGAATGCTGTCTACCAACAGGACAGTGAGTCCATGGATGGGACTGTGGTAGGGGAAACTGGCACTGATCAAACAATTAGATGAACGAATAGAAAACTGCACATGACAAAGGCCCAAAATAGAAAAAGAAAGATCTGCAAAAGTATAATAGAGCTATTAAAAATAAAATAAGATCTCATAATCAGGAAGGATAGCTTCTTAGAACATGATCACTGAGGTGAGATCTGAAGATACAGCAGGAAAGAACTGGGCATGAGGGTGGGGGTGGGGAGGGCAAGGAGAACTCTCCAGTCAGAGAGTCTCTAGCTTTATCTTTTTGATATTCACAGAGACAACCCTAGGCCCTGATAAAAGGATGTATCAATTCTTTTATTAGGATGAGATACCAATTCTTTACTGAGGATCTCATTCCTCTTAGGCAAAGAAAAACCCAGTCAGGCTCCAGATCTCAGCCTGTCTCCCTAGGAAAAGCAAAGCAGAAAGATCTCAGCATCCTGTCTGACTCATTTTCCTTAACTGAGGAGAATAATTCCCCATCCCTTATAGGGAAGAACCTCACAGGTGCTGGCTGCCTTGGCTGCTCTTGGTTTAGCACGTGCTCCCCAGTCTCCACTGCAGGCAATGGGATACTCAGTACCATTGCTTGTGAGTAGAACAGTAATGCACTCCTGTTTAGGGTGGTTGGTAAATACAGCTGCTGTCCACAGTATTACAGGAAAATCAGTTGCATCACTGGTTTGGGTGGGACACTTCTGGTTGTTGACTATGTCTCATTAGAGAGATTTCTCCAGGGTGGACAGTGTGGTTTCTGCTCCGGAAGCCAAGTAGGAAGGGGCCTCTTCCATCCTTCCTTCCTCTCCCTCCTCTCTCTTCCCTGCCCGCTTCTCTGCCATCCTTGTCATTTGCTCACTAAGTCCTGTCAGCTGGCTCTGATGCCGAGATCCTGTATGTGAGAGTAGAATAGACACTTAAAATTGGGACACTTTAGGTCTCACTTATTTCTGAGATATCAAAAAAGCAGGGAGGGCAGCATCAGCTTCATGCCTTGCCCCTTTTTTGAGCAAAAAGAGAACCAATGAGGCTTGGAGCTATTTCCTGATTCAGAGAGAAAATCGACATAATAGGATTAAATAGGATCCATCTTAATTTATAAATAAATGGAGCACATCCCCTCAAATCAAGTGTGAAGAAAACCTCCTGGGCCAGAAATCTTCAAAAAAAAAACTGTCCTTAATTTTCCCTCTCACCTCACTTTCACAAACACACCTGCTAGATTCTATTCCACAGCAGGGCAAGAAGTTTAGAAAGAGGAAGGTGTTGACTTAGTGAAAAAAAATTGTTGTGATGACAACCCCTTCAAAGAACTTTTGCTCTCTATTCCCACACAGCGGTTTTCTCTTTGTGTTCATTTTCTTCCTCTTCTCTTCACGTTGTTCCTTTGATCTCTTTAGTCTCATCGATTCCTTCACTTCTCTAATGTCTCCTGCCACCTCTCGTATTCATCATCCTGCTTGCTTTCTTCATCACTGCCATATAGGCATTCATTCACTACACATTTATCAAATGCATTTGCATGTTCATTGCAGCACTATTTACAATAGTAAAGTCATGGAATCAACCTAGGTGCCCATCAATGGTAGACCGGATAAAGAAAATGTGGTACATGTACACCATGGAATACCATGCAGCCCAAAAAAAGAACAGAATCATGTCCTTTGCAACAAAATTGTGCAACTAGAAGCCATTATTCTAAGCAAATTAATGGAGAAACAGAAAACCTTAGATGCACATACACATAAAGATGGCAACAGTAGACACTAGAGACTACAAGGGCTGAAAAACTCATTGTTGAACTCATTCTTTAGACATAACTCTGTCAAACATTGTACAAAAGAAAATGAAGATGATAGTTTATTTATCAGTCAATGATATTTCTTCAGTATACTTAATTAAAGTGTACATTAACTGCCAATACATTACTTGTATCAATGTTTAGGTAGGTTGATATCAAAAATAAAGCATTTTGTAAAGAAAAAAAAGCTTTGGATATACCAGGTTCTATGTTAGGATCAGAGGATATATTAATAAGAAAGACATGGTCCTTGCCCTCGTGGAGTTTTCATTCCGGTGAAGGGTAAAGGACACAGCATAACTATATGAACAAAAAGCAAATAAAGTAATTAAATACTTTCTAACTGTGGTAAGATTTAGAGTGAAAACAAAAATAGCAGTAGATAAATATGGGAAAATAAGTAAGCCAGGTATGTAATTTAGATACTTGGATCAATTCTTTTTTTTTTTTTTTAGATGGAGTCTTGCTCTGTCATGAAGGCTGGAATGCAGTGGTGCGATCTCAGCTCACTGCAACCTCTGCCTCCTGAACTAAAGTGATTCTCCTGCCTCAGCCTCCCAGTAGCTGGAATTTACAGGCATCCACCACCACACCCAGCTATTTTTTTTTTAATTTTTAGTAGAGATGGAGTTTCACCATGTTGGTGGCTGGTCTCGAACTCCTGACCTTGGCCTTCCAAAGTGCTGGGATTACAGGTGTGAGCACTGCTCCCAGCCTTGATCAATTATTCTTCATTTATTTTATTTTATTTGCCATAGAGTCCTTTAGAATTTGGTGAAACTGTCCATTGATTCTCAGAGTACTCTTCGAAAAATATAAAATAAAATACATGGGATTACAAATATGGCAATTACGCTGAAAGGTAGATCTACTTACCCATCCTTTGGGAGTTCACTGACCCCAGGTTAGATTCTTTGTAGAACACCTTAAAGAGTTTGGATGTATTATTTTAGAAAGAATAGGAGGTAAAAATAAGATTGTAATCACTGGTATTATATAGTATGACATGTTTTTAAATGATCACTCTTATTCACATATGGTCATTGATTTCACATGGCTGATAATGGAAGCACTTAGAAGGCAATTTTATTGTTGTAGGAAAGTTGTTCCTAGCTTGGACTCATATAGTAACTATGGAGAAAGCTATTTCTAAAAAGCGTCACTTAGAATCTTCCCATAAAGGAACATGCATTCCCTAAGTAGAGAATAAAGAAATGGGAAAGGAAGAAGTATAATAAATAAGTCTATTTTTCTTCCTACTTCCTGAATTCCCTTGTCAATCCTCTGAAGGTTTCCTTAGTAACACAAGTTTAGCAAACTCTTCTGAAGAGCTTGTGGTTTATAGCCCATAAAATATATTTAAAAATGTCTTTATACTTACTTGAAGCAAATATGTTTCCAGTAAATCTTAAAAGAAGTTGTTCTCCTTCTCGAACTTGGAAATGGCAAGATGGCTCTGAAGGTCCTCCAAACCCTTCCAAGCTCAGGTTCTTAAGCACCTGGCTTAAATCTTTAGAAGGCACCACTAAAACAGCTATTCTATGTGGATTGTCCTTCTGGTGAGACAGTACTATGCAGGCAGTGGTGCTGAGCATAGCTTCCTCTAAAGATTTCACAAAAGTAACCAAATGACTATTGTCCATGGTGGAAGAGAGGTGAAGTACAATAAACCTGCATGGAAGAAAGAGGTGAGACCCAAGGGAAAAATGCAATGACAAGAACATCACTGATACATAATAACACCCAAGAAAAGAGTTGTTATCAAACAGATGTCTTTTAAAATCAAGTATTCTTAAGGCCAACAGGTTAGATTCGTTAATGATTGATTGTAAAGAAACTCTTAGCCATCAAGAAACCGGCTCAGGCTGGGCACAATGGCTCACGCCTCTCCTAGTACTTTGGGAGGTCGTGGAAGGTGGATCGCTGGAATCTAGAAGTTCAACCCTAGCCTGGGCAACATGGCAAAACTCAATCTCCATTAAAACAAGAAATAAATAAAAAAGAAACCAGCTCAAATCAAACTAAATTCTAAAACATATTCTTAAACAAAGAAATCATACAGTCTCAGCTCAGCTCTAAACATGGCAGCATATTTTAAGTTATATTTTAATTAGAATTACAAAAGAGCATATTTAAAATATAGAAGAGAAAGATGAGTACAATAATTTGCTGACTCTCCATAGGATGCAGAATATATACCATAATTAAATGAGGATTGAAATATGCCTCTGTGTCTGTAGGTGGTAAGGATCAGGATCCTTAGGATGGACCTTGGTAGGGACTGCATTATGTGTCACCCTCCCCATTCACAGACACATTCATATGTTGAAGTACTATCCCCTAGTACCTCAGAATTTGACATTTGGAAATAGGGACTATACAGAGGTAATTAGGTTAAGGTGAGGGTCATTAGGGTCATCCCTAATCCAGTATGACTGCCGTCATAAAAGAGGGAAATTTCAATGCATAGGAATGCATGGAGAGAAAACACCCTGAGGCCAGGAAAACGGTGATCTACAAGCCAAGAATAAAGGCCTGGGCAGATCCTTAACTCACAGCTCTTGGAAAGAACAAACCCTGCTAGTACCTTGATTTTGTCCTTCTGGCCTCCAGAACTGTGAAACAATAAGTTTCTGTTGTTTGAGCCACCCAGTGTGCGGTACTTTATCACTGCAGCCTAAACAAACTAATACAGATCACTTTCCCTGGACTCAGCGGCCCATTCAAATTCTTCTCCAGTGATTTGGCCTAGAAGAAATCTTCACCCAGAGCAGCCCCACACCCACAGCCCCACACCCATGTGGGGATGTAAAGCCAGCTGCCTTGGTACTCACACTGCAGAGCTCCCCAGAGGTGTCAGGCTACAGAAATACTTGACCTGAAACCATCGCTTCACCTGAAACCATCGTTTTTTCCATCTTCCACCTTTGCCCTACGGGATTCACTCAAGAGCTCTCTCTCAATAAACCACTTGCCTTTCATATCAGGCTCTACTCCTAGGAAACTGGATTCAAGACAATCATAAATGTAAAACCTCCCGTTATGAAATAAAGGCTATTTTTAGATATATGACCTCTCTTTATGAGTGGCTACTCTTCTTGAACCTTAAATCTGTCCAAAACTCTTCTCATAATGGGCTCTCTAGAGAACATGGAAATGAGAAAGCAAAATGAGGGCACTGAAGTAACACATTCCGTTTATCTATACATAGTTATGAGATATGCATAATAGGAACAGTTAATTACTATCTCCATGGAATTTCAAAACGAACATTTTAAAACTATTTTGGAGTTAGCAGAAACCTGTAAAAGTAAATTTTAGTTATGAGTGGTTTCCAAAAGCACTTGTTTAACTATCACGAATGAAATTACAGATAGCATATCCACATCAATTCTGTTTTGCTTTTTATGTACCCTCTAAAGAACAATTAATATTTCTATTTGAAGAATAAAAATGTAATCTTACTATTCCATTTCTATGAGCACCTATCATCAACTTTGATTGTTTTCAATTCTATTACCTCTCGAAATGTTCATACAATTCAACCGATATCAAGCCTCTCTGTATGGTTTTCACAACGACATTGTTGAGTCCAAACCAACCACTGTCTTGGCTTCTGAATCCCAGTAATTTCAAATATTCAGAGGTATTTTTTCCAGATTTTCTTATGGAGGCACTTTTTGTCCTATAAAATGGTAACAAAAGTGATATTGGTACAATTTACTTATAATTTACATGGTATGAATCTTATGCATTCATTCTTTCATTGTGAATAATATAATAACAATTCATTAGGTTTATACTATGTGCCCATAATTATGCTTTGCAGCAGGAATACAGAGATCAAACCATATAACCCTTGTCCTACAGAAGCACATAGTAACACAGTATTATCTGATTACAGCACAAGGAAATCTGTGTGATAATTAAAGAAATGTATAGGGTGGTTTAAAAGCAGAAGGAAGAGGCTCAGGAAGCTTGCCAAGTGAAAATGCTAATGTTTGAGATGAGCTTTGGAGAATGACAAGCTTTTTGCAACCAGCAAAATAGGTTTAAGAGACTATCCAAAAACATTAAACTTGCTGATGTAAACCCGGATGCTCAAGGATAGCAAAGAGTGGTTGTATAGCAAAAAAAATAAGAGCACAAATCCAGGAGCAAAACCGCTCAGTTTCAAGCCCTGGTTGGCTTTGCCTCTTATGAACTTATGATCATGGGCAAATTATTTGATTTCTCTGTATCTGTTATCTTACCTATCATATGAAAGTAATAATATTACTCATATGGTTTGGCTGTATCCCCATCCAAATCTCATTTTGAATTGTAGCTTCCATAATTCCCATCTGGGAGGGACCTGGTAGGAGATAATTGAATCAAGGAGACAGTTTCCCCTCATACTGTTCTCATGGTAGTAAATATGTCTCTTGAGATCTGATGGTTTTATAAGGGGTCTCCCATTTCTCTTGGCTCTTATTCTCTCTTGCCTGTTGCCATGTAAGACGTCCCTTTCACCTTCCACCATGATTTTGAGGCCTCCCCAGCCAAGTGGAACTGTGAGTCCATTAGACCTCTTTTTCTTTACAAATTATCCAGTCTTGGGTATGCCTTTATCAGTAGCATGAAAATGGACTAATACAAGTACCAACATCATAGGATTAAATGTAAAGCACTTGTAGTGAGCACAAGTAGTATTCATATTCTAACCCTACTTCCAACTGCAGGCAAAGCCGATTTGCTTACTTGAACAAATTTCCTTCTTGTGTAGCCTGCCCTACCCAAAGGTCCTGAAAAAATTGGCTGTATGTGCCATGTGATATTTTTTCCCAATCATAGCTCATGTGACTAACAGTATACCAATTTCCAACAGCCAGTTAATTTGATTATCTTTCCTTGGAATTTGACTAAATGGCCAAGGGACTGGAACTTGTCATAATCCCATTTCTGTAGTACCTTGGTCAATGAAAATTAAGAAGAAAGATTATTCAGGAAAGAAAAACAGATGTTAGAGAAAAGGAGAAAAGTCAAGAGGAGAGAGTCCACATAGTCATAGAGATGGGGAAAGCAGAGGTTAACTATTGTAGCCTCACAATAATCTCTTTTCTTGAATTTGTTTAAGTGAACATTTGTTCCTTACAACTAAATCAAGAACAGTCCCTAATAACTGAACATCTTGGGGGGAAACATACCTAGTCTAATTATGCTACCTGAAAACTTCTTACTCTGTATTGGTTACTGCAGGGGATCAGTTAGATTAAACTTAGGAGCTTAGGGGACAAAACAACATTTAGTTTTAGGCTGCTGGGTTATAACTACAGATACAGTAAATTCTTTAACTCTTGGAAGTTAATAATTTATTCACACAGGAAGTTACACTCTTACTGAATCCAGAATGTTGATCATTTACTAGAAATGACTTAAATGTATTTTTTTCTGATAGCAACCATTTACTTTTTTTCTGTCAGAAACCTAAATTTTCTGTGGAGACTGACAGGTTCCCAAGGGTGGTGGAGCTGTCCCTACCCCCAGGACTAGTGGTCACATACCTAAGCCAAAGAATGCATTGTCATTCATTAATGCTGTTCACCAGAATATCCAATTTTGCCCTGATATGCATACATGATAGGATTTCACTTTCTGGCCCCTGTGGTTGAGTGGGGCCAAGTGACTAGTTCCAGTAAATGAATGTGAATGAAAAAAAAAAAAAATAGTGTCACTTTGAGGCCAAGCATTTAATTGCTAATATGAGTCTATCCAAAGGTCTTTTTTCTGGCACTGTGATAGCAACCAGGTAGTGGCTGCTCTATCAGTCCTAGAATAAGAATGACCAAGAAGCAGCCTGTCTTTGAGGGTCACGACAGATGCAAAGATTGTTGTTTAAGCCCTTGGGATTTGAGAGTTTTGCTATCATGCCAAAACCTAGGCTAATCTGCACTATATCTGTCTTCTGATTTCAGTGATCCACTCAGTGATGGGTTTGTGACAGATTTGGAGTGAGAATCAGGCCCTGGGCTTTTATGCATATTCATGGGGAAAACGCTTCCTCTTTCCCACTGAACTTGGAGTTATAAAGATGTAGCTATGTTGCCAGAATGAGGAGCAAGGATGTCAGAGAATGAAATTGGCACAGAGGAAAGCAGATAGATATGAAGAAGAAAAGAGACTAGGTTCTTCCTGGTTTAAGAAAAAATATATAGATAGATACATCCTCAGATTTTTAATTTACATATATCAAAAATTATTTTTTGCTTAAACACGTTGGATTTGCTTTTCTGTCATGTATATCAAAAGAGTCCTTAATGATATAAAGATTAAACTTAAACTTTACTAGGCATAGTCCACATTCAAGTTAAATAATCTGATGATATATTTGTGTCTGACAGCTGTTAACAAGCTCCGCAGCTAAACTATTTCCATAATATATGCTATTAGCAAAGTTTGACAACTAGTATGGTCTGACAGTGAATAGTACTTGATCAGATTCCATAAAAGACAACATGCTGACATAGTGATAGTTCCAAATATAGTAAACATTTATTTTTTAAATGTGTTTATTTTAATATGATCACATTTTGCTTGGGACTCACCCAGACAGTACTAATCTCTCTGAGGCTACTGATTAAAATGTCATGTTACTTTATCTGTGGAAAAAAATAATATGACACAGAATTTGACAAGCATTGACATCATCAAAATTCTCCTTTTATAGTATATTTTACTTTCAGGATATTTTCTTTGTGATATTCATCATGCATAGATATTTAAACATAAGTGTCGCTAAAGTTTTGGGGTTAACTTTTTATGAGAAAACCCTATTTATTAAAGTATTAATTTTAAATGCTATGCTGTATTAAAAAAGCTTTAAATATTTTCCCATTTTAAGTTATTCATGTTGATTATAAAATTATTTTAAAGTGGAAAAGTAAATGGAAGAAGAAAGTCCACATAGCCACATTGCCTGAAGTCAATACTATAATATATTGATGAATTTATGGTAGTCTTTATTTCTACATGGATTGTTATTTGATCCATAAAGTGGTGACATATTTGACATATTTTTAAAATGTCACATCCCTGTTAATATTATGTCATAAATATTGTCATATTTATGTCAATACTTGACATATTTTATGACAAATTGTGGATCTGAATTTCACCATTTGTAATCAGTGTAATCACTGTTGGATATCAATTCAAATGACCTGAGTGCCTACCACACAAGTGAGAGAAATGTTCTCTCTTCATATAACTGTCCCTTCTGACTGTAGGTCTATCTACCCTTGGAGCTTTCCCCAGTTCAGAGTGTCTCAGTTATAGTCATTGTACAGAGAACCCTACATAAGCTAACTGGTCCTGAGTCTTCATGTGTGCTTCCCATTCTCTTTTGCTTTGCTGCTGCTGCTGCCTCACCACTGTTGAAAACATAAGCTCCTCCACAATCTGATGCTAGGCCCTCATTTGTTGTATTTACCAGCATGTGCCACTATTCTGGTAATAGCTTTTAAGATAAGGAATAACAAGAAATCTCTCTCCACTGTTATGCTATATGTGATTCAGTTATTCCACCCTGAGCTTGAGCTCCCAATGACACTGTACCAGGGTGGACCCACTCACCGTGGCAACAACATGCCCTCACTGTAATTTTTTCAAAGAAATTTTCACAGTGCTAGAACTGTCTTATATTTTATCCAGTTCCTAGACAAAAAAAAAAAAAAAAAATGAGCCTAGGTCACCCTAGGCTAAAATTTGGTCATCCATTCAGATTTCCTTCTCTATTATGCTATCTTTTCTTGCTAACTGACATCAGAATATCCACTTCAATCCAACAGAAATGTTTTAATAATGTTGCACCTCAGAAAAAAAAAAAAGAAGTGATGACTTCAGTCTGTTTAATATCAGGAGGCTCTGTTTACTCGGTAGATTTGCCTGCATATCCCTAGGGAGAATAAGATTCATATACCAAGGAGTATACAGATAAGTGGATGCATTGGCTAAGACTTTTTGGGGTACAGGTAACCGAAGCCCTAATCCATTTTACTTACTTATAAGTGAATTGATTATAGTAATCCTTGTTTGTTAATGGGGCAAACAGACAAACGTGAAGGGCCTCAGATAAAAACTCTATCAGGAATTCGAGCATAATCTTTAATTACTTTTCTTCTCTGTTATTTTCTTCTTGTTTCTATTACTATTAATGACCATCTTTTTCCAGCAGCAGAAATCATGGCTGTTGGCAACTCCTGACTTTATATCCTAAAATGTGAGCTACCTCCAAATTATCCTTTTTATTAGGCATCAGGGAATTACAATCAGCCCCTTTCGGGTTAAGTGTTTAATTATACATAGGGGTATTAATGAATATAGAAACTCTCATTGAGTCTGCATGGGTAGAAAAGACAATTTGCAGAAATCGTAGTACAATTACCAAAATATAAGGTGTCTAACAGGCAAACTGATAGATATACCCTTTGGCTGCATTTTCTCAAGCCTAACAGTACACACTCACATTTTCCCAGTTAAATGCCTAAATGTCACAAAAAGGACATTCAAAAGATTTTTTGAAAGATAAAAAATCTGCTACAATATACCTTAATATTTTGTTTCTGTAACTGAGAAATAGGCACTATTGGGGATTTTTCAAGGATAGTTTTTTTTTATTTAAAAACCAAATTATTTCTCACTTGACAT